TGTGTGTGTGTGTGTGTGGTTGTGTGTGTGTGTGTGTGTGTGTGTGTGTGTGTGCATGTGTGTGTGTGTGCAAGCGCTTCAACAGTGTCGACAGTTGATAGCATTTCAATCGTGTTAATGAGCTAAAATGTCAAAGCGTGTAATAAGTAGCAGGAAAAAAAAATAAAATGTTTTAATTGAACACCGTGACCCTTGTGAGGATGAGCGGTTTAGGAAATGGGTGGATGGATTAAATGAAAAAAAATAAAAAATAAAATAATAAGTAACACACACACACACACACACACACACACACACACACACACACACACACACAAAATTAAAAATGAAAGGCGTAGAAATCAGAAAATATCTTTAAGAACATGAAACCCGTTCATCTAAAAGGTGTCGATGACACACAACTTGTTTGATAAATCACATGAAATTAACAAGACGATACAGGGCATTTGTACTCACCTTTTTTTTTTTCATTTAAAATTTTTTTTTGTTTTGTTTTGTTTTTTTTGGTTTTTTTTTTCTTAGTTTAATGGAGTCAGATTTAATTGGTGGGCCAATATGACAACTACATTACATATGACTTGACCAGTAGATCCAGAAAGCATTTTTTTTTTTTTAAAGGAAGAAAGTTTCAATATATGTTTGGACTTTAGTATTTGGACTTGGCCTTTGAGAGCGTGATAAATTCCAAGCCCATCTGTAAAAAAGGATTGATCCGAGATGAGGATGTGTCCTTGATAAAAGTCATTTCACTGCAACAACCGCAGGTAAATTCAGCCCAAACGAGCATCATGGGACAAGTGAAGTGCACTTCGCAACTGCAGGGGGAGCCAGGGAGCAATAAAAAAAACATCCCACCTCCTGGATGCTGTCATGGAAGTATTGCATTCACAATTGTTTCCCCACTGCAACTGATATGACGTATGAGGGGGAGAGAGAGAGACGATATTTCCTCGCGACATTCAGCGGCATCCTTACCTGCCGACCCGGAAGGGGGCGGAGCTCCGGCTTTCTGCCACTCGGTGGCCTCCATGGCCATGCGCCTCACAAACGTGTCGTCCACACACATCAGGATGTTCTCGGGCTTGATGTCGGTGTGAATGATTTTACATTTGGTGTGCAGGTAGTCCAGCCCTTGCAAGACCTGCGCACAAAAGTCCAAATCGTTGCTTCAGTGCCCGGGAAATGTTACTTTCGTAACGTCTCCATGATTTTAGGATCTGCGCCGAGGGACTCCGGTTGAGCTTGTTTACATCGTTGTACGTCTTCAACCATGCAGTGTGAATGCAACTGATGTGGACAGCGTGGGTCTGGGTCCTCACCTGTTTGATGATGCTCTTGACGCACGGCAGCGGCAGGCCTTGGTAGTTGGACTTGATGATCCACTTGAGCAGGTGGTGACCCAGCACCTCGAACACCATGCACACATCTGGACTAAGAGTTAAAGGACAAGCATGGCCGCCGCATGCGCAATGCACTTGTTGATGATGTCAGTCAGACAGCCACTGACACAGACCAGCCAACTTACACACACACCGAGCCCCCTTGGCCCCGTTTCCCCCCTCCCACAAACACATACGCTGTCCTGAGCAGGATACGAATGCCATTGACGCCGGAGATCTTGAAGTCGTCGATCAGCTGGACCACCATGTCTTTGTTGGGGTCGGCGGGGTCGCTCTCCCTCACCTGGGGGGAAAAAAAAAAAAAAACATGAAGGAAGTTCAAGTGGAAAGGAAACACCAAGATAACGACGGGAGACCCAATCGGACGCTCACACATCGCAGCAGTTTGATCTCATCCAAGGCCGTCTCGGTGTAATGCTGAGCGCTCTTCACTACCTTCATGGCCACAAAGTTCTTCACTCTACACACACACACACACACACACACACACACACAGACACCTCAGCAATTGGATTGTACAGAAAGAAATGTGCCTCATCACACTTCATCACACTCACACCAACACCGAGTAAGTAGGCAAACGTGTTTGAGAAAAACAGTCATGATGATGCATAAACACAATAATGTTGATGCGTCATGACCTCATCAGATGTCTTGTAATGATGCAAGGATCCATGAATGTTTTGTTTTCTTTTTTTTTTTTTTGTTACGTGGTGAAAATCGTCGGTAGGCGATAGTTGATTCATATTCTCTTGCTCATATTGTACTGGTTAGCAGACGGGGGTCATGCCGGTCGCTGTATTTTGTTTCCTATGGGAAAATTTGATCTTAGAGGTTCCGCTGTTTGTGTGCAGGACTTGTATGAACGCAGCGACTCGAAGTGGGAACTGTTACTTATCGACAATAAAGACTGATTACTTAGCGCTCTTCAAGTAACCCAACGCCAGCTCACAAGACTTCCATTACTGTAATTAACACCGACAGCGTGAGTAAATACGAGTGTATGTGCGTGCGAAAGCTGACACTGGGTTAATGTTACGCTCATGCAGCCTGCCAACTTACAAAACAAAACGTCATGAGCTTTGGTGTCAGTGCAGTCATGTAGCGTGTGTCAAATTTTAGGGCGAAAAGGTGTGTGTGTGTGTGTGTGTGTGTGTGTGTGTGTGTGTGTGTGTGTGTGTGTGTGTGTGTGTGTGTGTGTGTGTGTGTTTAACTCACTGGATGTCCCAGCACAGCCAAACGGTGGAGAAATGTCCCCATCCCAGCTTCCTTATCACATGGTACCTCCCGTTGAACAAATCTCCGATCTTGACCGGATGGTAGCCTCCTGAGAGACACAAAAAGAGGCAAGAGGAGGTTTGAAAAAGCTTGAACAACAGAAGAGTTTGGCACAAAGACAAGTCTACTTTGACAGATTAAGAAAAATTATGCGAAAAAAAAAAACCATCAATTGGATATATGTTGGTACAATTTTGATAGAACTGGCTATTGGCTAGCTTGTGTGCTAGCCAATAGCCAGCTAGCTAATCAAATTATTGAGACTTAGCCAGCTAGCTAATCAAATTGTTGAGACTTAGCCAGCTAGCTAATCAAATTGTTGAGACTTAGCCAGCTAGCAACGAGAGAGCGAGAGAGAAAAAGATAGATAGATAGATAGACACAGACAGACAGACAGAGAGAAAGACAGACAGACAGACAGACAGACAGACACATACTGTAGATAGATAGATAGATAGATAGATAGATAGATAGATAGATAGATAGATAGATAGATAGATAGATAGATAGATAGATAGATAGATAGATAGATAGATAGATAGATAGATAGATAGATAGATAGATAGATAGATAGATAGATAGATAGATAGATAGATAGATAGATAGATAGATAGATAGATAGATAGATAGATAGATTTAAAAAACAGAAACATGAATACACTGAAAAATATTGGTGTGTTGAATTTACTCTGTCATTACTATTTCGTCAAGTGGCTGCACAAAATCACATCATCTGGATCCAGCTACATTTTTGAAGTGCATGTACAGGTATATGTCTACTTTAAAAAAAAGTGTCTGGATCCAGATGATTTGATAAAGTATTTCATGCAACCACTCGACATGATAAAATTGAGTCAACTCAACAAATATTTCTTTCAGTGTACAGACAGTCAGGATTGGTGTCTTGTGTATCTTTTCACGGTGTTCCATCCTGACCTTTGCAGTAATCCGCTGGGTCCTCCTGCTCCTCATTGTCGGAGCCCAGGATCTCCTCCTCCGGCTCCGGGGGCCCCGCCGGCTCAGGGGGAGGCGGAGGGGGCGGCGGGGGCGGAGGGACACTCGGCGAGGCTTTCTGCTGCGTCTCAGGCCTGCCGACGACAAACGAGGCGACGATATAAATGTGTGCCTCAAGTGTCGTTTGGTCTTTCCAGGCGGTGACTCACAGTGTGAGCTGCAAGTGTGACTCAGACTCGGATAACAACTTCAGACATTTCCTACTTATCTATTTCTTTTTGGTTTTTTTTTTTTTTTTTTATGTCAGCAGTGGAAGTGTGTGTGGCTGACAGGTGGTGCGCAACAGGAATCCCAACCATAAAGAAAAAAACTCGGGAAATGATGTCAGAATTTCTGGAACTGGATGAGCGGAATCCGCAGCTTGTTATTGTGTTGAAAGTTCTGAAAGAAAGTTCTGTATTGATGCTCTGAGGTAGTAGGGGTTTTTTTTTTCTTTTCACACCAAGTACCAGAAAATGGAACAAGTGACTCTCAAACTACTACCATCAATGTTAAAAGTGGTCCTGTTTTATTCCTAAAAATTAGGGCCAGCCCAAATATTTGGCTGGCCGATTTAATTAGCTGATAACTCTTTTAAAAGTGGCAAAAACCGACCTTTAGTTATTCATTTTACATATTAACATTCAAACATTCCTCCTTGGAACTACTTCCTCCCCCGCCCCCAAAAAATTGCTGATTTTTGCCAAATTTTCTCTGTTGCAAAGTTAAAGACTAAAAGACATTCATGTAACACAGTCAAATGCTATGCTTGTAATTCATCTTTACTGTTGTACAGTATGTGTTAAGGCGGGGGTGTCAAATTCAATTTTCTCATGGGCCACTCTGGAGTGACGTCTTTGCGCAGAGGGTCATTGATGACAGTGATTCCACAAAAACATTGAAGCGTGTCATTGCATTATGACTTGTACACGACAAATTAATGGATTACTAGTTTTGAAATCAGTCCAGTCAACACTAATAGTTTGTTCGATTATTGTTCAAATGCGTGTCAATAGGCGAACAAAATTATTGCAAAATCTCAACATTATTTATGACACATGAAAATTTGACATTTTGGTCGAGATATGAGCAAAGATCATGCAAGTTGACACGCATGATTTGCTTTCACGGGCCGCATAAAATGACATGACGGGCCCCCGGGGCCTTGAGTTGGACACCAGTGTGTTAAATTAATGGCATTTCAATTCATTTCAATGTGCAACAGTGATTTGACATCAGTTTCAATTGAGTTCCAAGCGTTGTCATGGACCGAATTCAATTCATCAAGTTCCCCCTTTAAATGCCCACAAAAATCGGGCACTCCGACGTGTCGTGTACATCCCATCGTCGTCTTCATTGTCATGACGCCCATAAAAACATCAACACAAAAGACAGCATGTGAAAGCTGCATTTAACGGCGGTCACAAGCGCAGACACATGATCTCGGTGCGTTGCCGTGGCAACTGCAGCGAAAGAAGGGGTGCTGGGTTATAGGGGGTGGTGGTTTCTGGGCAATCCGGTACACAAAGACTCAAAAGTGGGCAGCGACGACGACAACGACGTCGGCTTGCCCGGAGCTGATGTGACGGGAAGAAGATTGGTGCTGAGATTTCATTGTCCATCCGTTACAACCGACACGATGTCCTTGCACTATAGGATGCCGCGTCTTTACCAAGCCTGTCACGTAGGCCGTTTATACATCACAGCTACACTCTCTGCTTTTTTCCTTTTTTTTTTCTGATACGGTCGATGGTAGCACAACTCAGCCACACCTCCCACGCCCTCATAACTTCCTGGATGCGAGCCGAGTCCCGCTAGAATATTACAGGAGGGCATTAAATACACCGCAGTCTGAAGAAACGGCGAAAGGGAGGCGAGCAAACCAGCCGCAGAGAGAGAAACAGCGAGAGAAAGACGGCAGTTAGGTACAAGGTCACGTGACATGTAATGAGGTGCGCCGTCATTACATAAAGGAGCAAGGCAAAAGTTGATGTCGCATTATTAAACACAATAACGGGAGAGGGGCACGTAATATATTTGTCCACTTGGGAGTTGCCATTCGGATATTCAACCGTAGTATCCCGAGACTTTGAGGGTCCTATTATTGTCCAGCCCAAAGTGCAGTCCAACTGTCCACATGGTTGGAAATTTTTCTTCCTTTTGGTATTTTCATAGACAGTGCAGCTTGATATGGGTGTTTGCGCCGTTGTAGGAGTGCACACAGCTGATTACCGGCTGCCATCGTTCTTTTTAAACTCAGTGCAATAGAGGTTCACCGTCTATATTGAGGAAGCCTAACAGACTCGCTGGACTCTGCGCAGATCGGCGAAACTAAACAAATTAAGTATATTCATAAAAAAAATGGCAAATTGCAGATTATGAGCACTTGGAGATCGCGTTCCTGGATAAAATCCACCAAAATCCTGTTCCACCATCTGCGCCACAACTTAGACCATTTACACCCCGTCGAAAGCTTTCTGCTACCAAATTGTCAGGTGCGCCAGGGGCAAGTAATTGAAAATAGCCCTCGGTTTGTCGGCACGCAAAGTGAGGAACAACACGGTCTGCCGAATTCCCCAAACAGCGCAAACTTGCACCAGTAGAGCATGTGCGCCTCTAGAGCTGTGCGTTGGTTGTGTAACGGAATTATTTGTGTTATTCAATTTTCACATATGGCGGGTGAGTCTCGAACATATCCCCCCCACCCCTGGAAAAACGGAGAGGCAGACAATAACATATCACCCACTACTGAATGAGAAAAGTTCATTTTTCCTTTTGTGTAGAGGCAAAACAGAAGGCCAGAACATGTCCTCCCACATGTTTCTTATTATGCATTTTACTCCAAAGACATCTCCAAAAGTGACATCTAGTCGTGGCAATCAGTTGTGATTAGCACCCCCCCCCCCAATCCCCTGGCTGAAGCAGCGCTAAGTACTCCCCCTTCCCCTAATGGGGACTCATTTTCGCATTAGAAGAACTCCTCGACTGCATGTGTGTACACTGTCGCCATAGTTACCGTGATTGGCTCCAGTCTCGGCGTAACCGTCGCCGTGATTGACCTTCCAAGAGTAAGGACCATAAAGGGGTAAACATACAGGCTCCAAAACATTCCATTTATTCGGCGACGTCAGCCTCCAAGGTCATCAGGGGTAAAGGACAAAGGCCCAAAAAACAAAAATCATTATTTCACTTCTATTTATATTAACTCTAACCCAACGTGTCAAAACTAAAAACTGCTTTGACCTCAAGTTCAGGCTTTCGTCTAAGCTAGTTTTATATTTTTCAAGGGTAAAGAATGGCATTGGCTGGCGACGATAAGGCATTGTGGGCTCTAAAATGTGCGAAGACAGCCATACAGGAAGGTCTAGCAGATATTTTTGAGGAAAATAATCAAATACAGTCTGCCAAGTGGAGAGCTGATTGGGAACAAGGTGAAAAAAAATTCTAATCTGAAGACAAAACACAAAACAAAGGTGGGTTCACGGGCAGTCAACGTACTGTTAGCTGATTAGCACATAGTATTTTCCCGTGTCATTTTTCATTCCTACCAACTTGATGAAAAATACGTCGTTTCTCAGCCTGTCATATTTGGAATTATTTACGTTTGTTTGTTTTGTTGGCGGGCAGGGATGCACCCTGCATTTAAGGAATCAGTAGCGGTTACTCTTCAAATTGGAACGGACAGCAGAATACGGTCATCAAGACGACTGATCTATTTTTGCCAGAAAATCATCAGCATTGGCCGTTATCGTCGAGTGCTCCAGACGTACAAATATTTACACACACACACACACACACACACACACACACACACACACACACACACACACACACACACACACACACACACACACACACACACACACACGACTAAAAACCCAAGGAGAAATTGTTTTGATGACGCCAGGAATGAGATTCAGCCATCTATCAAGTGCAAGGTCAAATTGTCGTCTTTTTTTTTTTCTTTCTTTCTTTTCATAGCATAGACCAGGGGTCGGCGACCCAAAATGTTGAAAGAGCCATATTGGACCAATATGGAAAAATATGTCTTGAGCCGCAAAAAAATTAAAAGCCTTATATAAGCCTTATAATGAAGGCAACACACGCTGTATGTATTTATATTAGCCTACTATCAAAATGACTACGTTGGCTACAAATACACAATGAGCCCTCCATCCATCCATCCATTTTCTGACCCTCACAAGTTGTCACGGGGGTGTGCTGGAGCCTATACCAGCTGACTTCGGGCAGTAGGCAGTAGGCGGGGGACATTAGGGCGGCGCTAAAGAGCCGTATGCGGCTCTGGAACCGCGGGTTGCCGACCCCCGGGCATAGACAGTCAGGACGGCATAAACACCGATTACGCTCAGTCTCTGACGAAAGGGCACCCGATGACACTCTTTGTCAAGAGTTTTCATGATGCACTGTTGTTATTTTGACAGAAAAAAAAAGAAAAAACAAGGTGGCTTGCTTGAAAATGGCTTCTCACCAGATGACAAATCTAAGGAATGCGACCACGATGACATGGACACAAAGGACTCTTTGCCAATCATCCTGCATTAGAATCCCATTGCACAGAGCTCCGCTTGTTTTGTGTCGGAGCAGTTTGGCTCCCGTGAACTGCTGACTCGGCAGTGCACAGCTGAAAAAAAAAAATGTCAAAACAACTTCCAAGGTTTACCCTCTAAACAGGCGGGCCCCTTGAAACATGAACACAGCACACGTGCAAGAATGCGCTGTCACCTTGACAGGTTTTTTTTTTTTTTTGCCCTGCAGATTGGATCCTCCGTAGAAGAGATTGACAGTATGTATGTGGATAATTTCCAGTTCTAGATTCTAAAACCCACTGTCTGCAAAGCTAGCACATTGTGACCTATTTCTGCTTACTTCGCACCATACCTAAAATCTTCCAAGAGTTCAAGAGTTCAAATGAAAATGCAGACATCTTCATTTTCTGTCAACTTAAGTCTAATTAGTTTTTTTGTTTTTTTTTTGGGTGAGAGCAACTCATTTTTTTCTTATTGAATATAAGATACCGCAATTAAAGAGGCCAATGTGGAAAAAAATCAAACTTCGGTGGCATTTGATCTCATTTCATTGCAAAAGCAGATAAACTCCAAGGTTATAATTTTCTTCAAAAACAGACGAGTCCAAAATATTCACATGACTCTAAAATGACACTGAAATTGCCAAGTATTGCACAATATTTTAAAAAATAATAATAACAGGAGAATTTACAAGAACTGCAATCTCCGTAACCAACCCGTAGCCTGAATTAAAATGAACTCTTAATCTGGGAGAGACAAATCATGTTGCTTAAAAAGAGTCCGTAAAATGCTTCTGGCTCTTGTCGACCTCTGAGGGAGGGGCATCCACTTTTTAAAGCTTCCAAGTGATCTCAGGTCGGATTCGGGGCCAGTCATAAGGAGGAGTCATGCCATATCACTTCGGAAAAAACACTTGTCTCAACTCTGAATTTGCTTGCGTCTGGGTTATTTCTCCGCATTGTGGCAAACGGCGCAGGCCTCTCCCAGAGCAGTTTTTACGGGTGCGCTGCTCCAAGTTTAAAAAGCGTCGATTGCCATTGCGCTTGGGGACGACTTATATCAACCAAAACATTGTTTATATGCAGTGGCAAAAACGCAAAACGATCCGGGCAACCGGTTTCTTCTCCGGAACTCTCGGTATTATTGTTTGCTTGTCTTCCGCTAACACTTCCAGTTCCGTCATTCCAAGCTTCATCTTGTGTTGGAAGGTGCTCGCCTTAATTTTCCACGGCAAAAAACGTCAGCGCTAACTAAAGTGTAAACCATTTTGAAATAGGGCCGCCTCGACCGTTTTTAAACCCGGTACCAGGTGAGCCGCAATTCCTAGTAGGTCACACACAACGCGCTCACCAACAGCGAGCACATCTGTACAGAGTAAAAAATAAAAATTTCTTTCATCGCAATTTAGCACCAGCTACTTGGGATCTTGGTTAATCAGGCCGTATATGTTCTTTGGTTTACTG